CTGATGGCTCATCATGTTGGTATTCAAGTGATACGGGTTGAAGTTCACAGATGATAGCTTTTGGTGGAATGTTGATGGTTTTGGTGGTTACATTGGATATCTTGATGGTTATTGGTCCGTTCTGTTTATGTTGGTAGTTGACAAGTCCTGGCTCAATATCAAAATCCTTAAAGTCCTTTGCCAATATAGAAGAATGTGTCATAGCTGTAGTACGGTAGTATGGTATCTCCTTATCCAAATATCCAGTCAATGAAATGTAAGAATTAGGTGGTACAGTGATACTCTTGACTTCTGCGCTCTTGATGATTCCTAATCTGTTGTTGTTCTTCAGAAGTTCTCGCTCACGTAGTAGAATACAGCGGAATGTAAGGTACCATGGTGTAGTAAGGCAACAGTTCTGCAAAAATCTTTGCCCAAGTTCTTTTTCAAATGTGTCCATGATTGCTGTAAGTGTGTTAGTCCCAAGCAAGAGTGGTACTTCATGGTTGTATCTGCTGTCTGGTACTACCAATAGTATGCAAGAGTGTATCTGCTTGTGTCCAGGTATTTCCAATTCAACCTCTGTATATCCAAGATATGGTAACTGCTGACCATCAGCGCATTCAATGTCCAGTAATGTATCCAAGTTCTTCAAAGGTGTTGATATATGTTCCCGAAAGAAGCTGTTGCTTATGGTGGAAACGGTTGAGCCAGTGTCTAGAAGTGTTGATGTTTCCTTTATCGTTAAGAAAAATCTGTGTTTCAGTTGGTGTTCCAAAAAGTCCTGCTGGCGTCTTAACTCTGTTGCTTCTGGGAACTTGTTGTCTTGCAATACCTATGGATGTTCCCCCTTCATAGGTTGCTGCCAGTTTAAATTCTTCCTACTGTGGTCTAACCTCACATTGCAGTCTGCCTTCCTGTGTCCAAATTGTCCACATCTCCAACACGTAAACTGATCTCTGTTGTTCCTTTGTCGTTGTTGTCTTGTGTTGTACTGATTCCTGTTCTGTCATTGTCCATAGTTCTTTCCTCTACCTCTCTGTTGTTGTGGTTGACCATTCCATGGTTGTTGTTGTTGCCAAGGTGGTATCTGTTGTTGCCATTGTTGTTGCTGATGTTCTTGTTGTTGTTGCCATGGAGGTGTCTGTTGTTTGTTTGCCTCATAAGTGTCCATCCTGTTAACCAGTTGATGTATCATTCCTTTGAGTTTATCAAATTCTGATGGTGTTTCCTTAACTTCAGTTGCTGCCTTGCTGGTGTGTGGCTTAGATGAAGTTGATGACTCCCTCAGTAAATGATCACCCTCTATCTGGCGTATGGCTACTCTAAGTGTATCAAAGGTCTTGATGGTATCATACTTGTGGCCGGATATGTCTTTTAAAGATGTCCTAAGTCCAGTCCAAAGCATAGATCGTAGCATCTCATCAATGTCCTTTGGTTGTACTAATCCTCTTTCTTTGGCTTTCCCAAGTATGCTCTCTAGTCTACAACTCCAGGTAGTAACGCTCTCATCTGTTCCTTGACGTGCGCTGTAAAATTCTGCCAATAATTCCTCCTTCTTCTCCACACTACCATAAACACTGTCTAGCTTCTGTAGTATCTCTTGAACTGAAGCATCTAAATCCAATCTCATGGCAACCATTCCAGCTTCTCCACGTAAAGATCTTCTTACGGTGTTGAGTATGGCATCTTTGTCATAGTTCTGCTTCATAAGGACTCTCACCTCATGCCTCCATACCTCAAATGTAACATCTCCAGCTTTGATTTCAGTTCCTATAAAAAACCATGCTATCTTCGGTGGATGGTTAATAACTGTCTTGGTAACTTTTTCTTCTGGTTTTGATGGTAAAGGTGGTGGTTGTAAATCAATTTTGGCCTCTGGTTCCTCCTTTATCTTTCCTTTCATCTTCAAAAATCCCATCATCCAATCAGTAAGTTCCTCTGGTGTATCTGCCTTGGGTTTGACTCCCATCTTTGCAAATGCATCCATCATCTTCTTAATGTCAGGATCTATCTCCAATGATGGACTCTTCGGTTGTTGAGTGATGACCTCATCTCCTCCTGTAGCCATGTTGTAAGTATGTGTGTATCCGACTTACCTGATTACAGTAATAAGTGTAAGTACTAATAAATGTAAAATCAAAATATGCAGTACCCAAAAAAATAAACAAAGTACAAAATCAAATGCAAAGTATGCAATACAATGTATACTCACCAAATATCAATGTAAATACTCAGCAATGTATACTTCCTGTAAAAGGGTTGGCCAGAAATGTGAAACTTTTATGCTCACACCTCTAAATCAAGGACACAATAATATCTCAACTCAGTGTCAAAGCTAAATAATCTGTAAAGTCACTAAGTCAATGTCTACTAGTGTCAACTCAAGTACCAAACTACCAAACTATGAAAGAACTAACTCAAAGTACAGCTACACTGAAAGATCAAAGTAAGTATATCACAGGAGGTAGGTTAACATGCAATAAGGAAAGGATGTAATGTGTGTATTAGCAGGTAATAGTTATATATAGGATTTCATGCACAAGCACCTTACATACGGTATAACACTACTATTATTCTGTAAATGTTTACGTAAATTTTATGTTCCTAGTTAAATAAGTTTAAATTGTTTTTAAGAGTACAAATCACATATAACACCAATACACACAATATGCTGTACACAAAAATCAAAACACAATGACACTACATGTACATAAACATAAAGTAAAACAAGTCACATAACATTTCACACATGTATGCAATAACTCATAAAGTAAACATATGTACCTATCATCAGTGTGTGAATATGAAAAAAGTAAAATAAATTTTGAAAAAAAAAATTCACAAAGTCCTATGTGTATGTACCTAAGAGAGAGGACAAAAAAAATTCAGGATCAATTATCCAAAATCAAAGTGTATGTGTGTATGTGTCAATTAACAAAGTCCAGTTTCAAGTGACAATGTTTCACAAACACAACAAATGTGTCAAAATATTTTCAATCAATGTTAAACAATCAATATCAAATGTCACTGTGTTACTAAGATTCAAAGAGAAAAAAAATTATCTAAGTCTCTGAAAAAAAATACCTATATTCAATCAACCTAAGTTCACAAAGTATGTCTCACTGTAAGCAACAACCACTATACATCCAATGCATAAGTTTTCAGTCTATGTACTATACAACTTTCAATGCATACATATGTACCACAATAAATTTTTTTTTAACAACACAAATCTGCTCTCAAATTCTAGTTTCAGAATAAAATTATCGCAAATTACTCTTGCGGTTATATAATGTAATGTAATATACACAAATTCAATTCATATAAACATATTAATTCAACTTACAATATCAGTATAAATCAAGAAAAGTTATTTCAGAATTCCAATCGCATGTCGATTTCTGTTTACCTTTTCTTCGTTCATATGAACCGGACGTTGGCCAATAACTAGGTCGGGTGCGGTCGAACAATTTTCACCGTACGGTTTCTTCAATCCAAGAATTCCAATCGTAGATATATCAACGTTGTCACAGAAATAACTCTTCGTGGGCGCCAAATTATGTAATAGCACTTTCTAGGGCTAATAAAACAATACTTTCTTCTGAGGTGGATTCGTTTTATTTCTTGACAAAATCAGGATAATAACAATAACTAAATAAATACCCTACAAAATAAATACAATAGTAAGATTCTGACCGTTTATCAAATAAATAATCTGGTACATAGGTTTCTATCCATGTAATGTGATAAACAAATGTTTTACTAATAGAAGTAGAAATAAATCTGTTCTGCATGTATTTACAAACAATATGCTTATATTGTTGAGCGTATCTGACAAAGTTTAGTCCATATGCACTTAACGACTCATATTATATAAACAAGTCTAATATACGAAAAAATGACAAAAGCGGTTAAATTAAACTTTAACATAAGCAAATTAACAAAACTAAAAGCAAAAGCTGCATGCTGTATAAATGCCGTAAGCATAAAATAGCAACAAACAAAAATACGAACATTACAAAAATAACACTTAGCCTACCTCGCATGAGGTGCAAAGGCCTCCTGAATTATCTAATTGGAATTTAATCACATCTTCCCAGGATTACTTAAAATATACCTGTATAACAAATAAACAAATTGTAATCCATGTTTTACTGTAATAATCCACCTGTTTACGATATGTACTCTTAGTTAAAATAATCAATCAATACCACATAACTTTTATTACGTTTATATCATTACCTTTAAAAGTATTTAAAGCATTCGTACCGGAACACTCGAATTCTCATACAGTGTGTATTAAATTAATTCTTTACCAAATTAGTTAAAAGTACTTTATTTATGAAAATATGAAAATAACGTCTCTTATACCATTTAATCAAACAGATAATACTTTACTGTACTTTATCTATTTTATATCATTTTAAAGCATTCATCTCGCATTCAACATTTACGCATCGGCCTTTCATTCTAAACATTCATTCTAGGTAAAATAATAAATATCTGGACTATTAACATATAATTAGTAATAGAGAAAGATAACTGACCTGTATATAGAATATAGAACACTAAGAAAGAATGTTACTCAAACTTAGAATTATATCAAACACATATGTCTATGTCCACCATTATATCAAAAGTGATAACCAGTATATAGAACAAAAGAAATATAGCGCCAAAACATAATAACCAATAGAAATAAAGAAAGTGTGCGGTCCAATGAACCATGAAAAGAAAGCCTTTGAAGTAAAATACAGTGAAACCAAAGTTACCCAAACCAGTAGAAAATGTCGTCTGTCAATAAGTCCAACTGTCAAATAAGCAAATAAAATGAACAAAGCATATAAATATACTAATCAATTAATTACAATCTGTAATTAATATACTCATACCTTTTAATTAATATAAGTCAGATAATAAACAAATTATAATACCATAAACTTAATATAAAAATATACACAATTACTGTAAAACCTACAGTCTACCACATACTCCCCCAACTGTAAAATGACGTCTCGTCATTTCTTGGCTGACGGTGTCTTGACAATGTCGAGTATGGTCTTCGCTGCTTCTGACTGTAAATCCCGGAATAGATGTGTTCCAGCTAACGATGTAATGAACTGGACCTTCTTGTACCACTCACTGTCACTAACTGGTGTACCAACTGACTTGGATAAGTCGAATGTTCCAGATCTCATCCAGGCTGGTTGTTGTCTATCTCTAGTAGACCGTCTAACTGGTTCAGGTGAAGATGCTGTAGAAGCTTCATCAGGACTATCCTCCTGCTGACTATCTTCATTACTGACTGTCGAAGCGCTTCTAATAACCGACTCCGATTCTGTCCCTTCTGCTTCGGTGTCTGTCGCTTCCTGGGAATGGGCGTCCCCTACAGAATCAGAATCCTCAGGTGTATCGATCACAGTAGAGTCATCGTGCTGTTCCTCAGTGATGGTAGTGTCACTGCTAGCATCATGCTCCACTATTACAAGCTCAAATGGTTCCTCATCAGACGATTCATCTGAAATTTCCACTTGGCTCTCCGGTCTAATAGGTGTGACAGGTGTGGGTTGCTTCTTCCTCAATCTCGGTTTTGGTACGGGTCTTTCTCTCTGTACTGGTGGCTCAGTGTCTGTCAGATATCCGATGGGTAGTAAGAGATTCCTATGTAGGTTTCTTTTCCTTCCCTCGCCATTTTCCTTCTGTACAGTATACACTGGTATATCCGCATTAGGCTGAGCAAGTACGGTGTAAGGGTCATGCTCCCACTTGTCTGCTAGCTTGTGTTTTCCTTCTCCAAATGCCACTATCTTGACCAGAACACGGTCGCCTTTCTGTATTGTAGCTCCACGGACTCTGGTGTCATAACCTTTTTTCTGTCTAAGTTGAGACTTCTTGGAGGCTTCTGAAGCAACTGTGTAGGCGTGGTCTAGTCTCTGTTTCAGGTCCTTGATGTAGTTGGATCCTGTGGCATCTTTCCTCAAGCCAAATGCAATGTCCACTGGAAGTCTTGGGTTGCGGCCGAACATCAAATAGAATGGTGAGTAGCCGGTGGAATCATGTCTGATGCAGTTGTATGCATGACCGAGTGGTCCAACGTAGGCTTTCCAGTTCCTCTTTTGCTGTGGCTCTAGTGTTCCTAGCATTCCAAGTAGTGTGCGGTTAAACCTCTCGCACATACCATTACCCTGCGGATGGTAGCTAGTAGTGCGAGTCTTCTTCATTCCTGTCAGGTTACAGAGTTCCTTAATGACTTTGGACTCGAAATTCGCTCCCTGGTCTGAGTGTATCCTTTCAGGTATCCAGTAATGAACAATGTAGTGGTTCAGGAATGCCTTGGCTGTTGTTCTTGCCGTCTGGTTTCTGGTAGGAATAGCTTGTGCGAATCTGGTGAAGTGGTCAGTGATCACAAGGATGTGTTGCAGTCTTCCTTTAGATGGTTCCAGTGTCAGGTAATCCATACATACCAGTTGCAGAGGTGAAGTAGTCTCGATACTAACAAGTGGTGCTCTATGGTTGGGTAATACCTTCCTCCTGGTGCATCGTCCACAGTGCGCAATGTACTCTTCCACATCCTTGGCCATACCAGGCCAGTAAAACCGGTCTCTCAGTAGTGACAAAGTCCTGTCCTTTCCTGGGTGACCCATGTCTGTGTGTAAAGCCTGTAGTACGGTGCTAACATGTGGTGCAGGCAAAACCAGTTGTTGTTTCATACCATCATCGGCCTTTACTTCACGATACAGTATTCCCTCGATGATCTTGAGGTGGTGGTACTGTCGTTTCAGTATGCTATCCCCTTTTTCTGGTTTCTGTTCTTTCTTCACCATATCTATCCAGTTTTTCACCATAACATCTTGAGTCTGTACTTTCTTCCAATCAATGATATCCGATGTTGATGTTCCAGTTGATATGTCCTCTCCTGCAATAACATCGGATGTCATGGGTAGACATTCAGCATAAGTTGATGAGCTGACGGACTGGCATATAGTTTTCACAGACTCCATGGTGATGGGTAGTCGACTCAACGCATCAGCGTCCCCGTTGTTTTTCCCTGGCCGGTACTGTATGGTGAAATCAAATGCTGCTAAACCAGCTAACCATCGATGTCCCGTGGCATCTAACTCTGCTGTAGTTAGTACATACGTCATCGGGTTGTTGTCAGTAAGGACGGAAAATCTGGTTCCATACAAGTAGTCCCTGAACTTGTCCACTACGGCCCACTTCAAGGCAAGAAACTCTAGCTTATGTGGCGGGTAGCTCTTCTCTGACTTGGTGAGTCCCCTGCTGGCATAGCTGATAACTCTTTTCTGTCCATGTTGTTCCTGGTAAAGGACTGCTCCTAAACCGGTTCCGGAAGCATCAGTATGTAGCTCATACGGAAGGGTGCTGTCTGCATATCCAAGAATAGGAGCTGAAGTAAGGTATTGTTTCAAGATGGTAAATGCTCTATCTTGATCATCTCCCCAATGCCAATCTTTCTGCGGTTTCGGTTTTCCTTTGCCTTTCTTCTTCCCAGTAGGTGTGGGCATGAGATCTGTCAGTGGTCTGCTGATCTGGCTGAAGTTCCGTATAAAACGGTGATAATACCCAACGAATCCCAGGAATCGTCGTACATCCTCTGGTGATGTAGGAGTTGGCCATGTGGTGACTTTATCGGTCTTTGCAGGATCGATCTCTACTCCAGATTCAGAAACAATGTGGCCGACAAACTTTACCTTCCTCTTGAAGAATGAACACTTCTTCGGTGCTAACTTCAGATGTGCTTGTCGTATCCGCTCTAATACTAGTTCCAGGTTGTGTAGATGTTCCTCATATGTCTTGCCAAATAAAATGATGTCATCTATGAATACGCAGCAGATCCTAAGGTGATACTCTGCTAAGCAAATCTCCATCAATCGTTGATAGGTGGCTGGACTGTTGGTAAGTCCGAAAGGCATCCTGTTATACTCGTAGAAGCCTAATGGTCCAACGGTGAATGCTGTGCGTTCCTTGTGTGGCTCATATATACCTACCTGATAATAACCAGACTTCATGTCCATGGTACTAAAGAACGTACTCCCTCCAAGACAATCTAGAAGCTTCTCGATTCTCGGCAAGCTGTAACTATCCTTTTTGCTGATGTTATTAAGCTGACGGTAATCAACACATAGTCTCAGGCTGTTGTCTTTCTTCCTCACCAAGACCACGTTGGATGCAAATGGACTGTGTGATGGCCTGATAATCCCAGCATCAAGTAACTGTCGAAGGTGAGCTCTAACTTCGTCGTAGGCTGAAGGTGGTATACTCCTATATCTCTGTTTAAAGGGTTTGTCATCTATCAGGTCTATGCGGTGCTGCACAATATCTGTATGGCCAACATCATCGTCTTTCTTCGAAAATAGGTCCAAATATGAAGTAACAAGTTGAAATCCTTGGTCATACTGATCATCTGTTAAGTTGCTCTTGGTAAACTCTATCTGATCCATGATGTTAACTATCTCTTTCTCTGATGGCTCATCATGTTGGTATTCAAGTGATACGGGTTGAAGTTCACAGATGATAGCTTTTGGTGGAATGTTGATGGTTCTGGTGGTTACATTGGATATCTTGATGGTTATTGGTCCGTTCTGTTTATGTTGGTAGTTGACAAGTCCTGGCTCAATATCAAAATCCTTAAAGTCCTTTGCCAATATAGAAGAATGTGTCATAGCTGTAGTACGGTAGTATGGTATCTCCTTATCCAAATATCCAGTCAATGAGATGTAAGAATTAGGTGGTACAGTGATACTCTTGACTTCTGCGCTCTTGATGATTCCTAATCTGTTGTTGTTCTTCAGAAGTTCTCGCTCACGTAGTAGAATACAGCGGAATGTAAGGTACCATGGTGTAGTAAGGCAACAGTTCTGCAAAAATCTTTGCCCAAGTTCTTTTTCAAATGTGTCCATGATTGCTGTAAGTGTGTTAGTCCCAAGCAAGAGTGGTACTTCATGGTTGTATCTGCTGTCTGGTACTACCAATAGTATGCAAGAGTGTATCTGCTTGTGTCCAGGTATTTCCAATTCAACCTCTGTATATCCAAGATATGGTAACTGCTGACCATCAGCGCATTCAATGTCCAGTAATGTATCCAAGTTCTTCAAAGGTGTTGATATATGTTCCCGAAAGAAGCTGTTGCTTATGGTGGAAACGGTTGAGCCAGTGTCTAGAAGTGTTGATGTTTCCTTTCCGTTAAGAAAAATCTGTGTTTCAGCTGGTGTTCCAAAAAGTCCTGCTGGCGTCTTAACTCTGTTGCTTCTGGGAACTTGTTGTCTTGCAAAACCTATGGATGTTCCCCCTTCATAGGTTGCTGCCAGTTTAAATTCTTCCTACTGTGGTCTAACCTCACATTGCAGTCTGCCTTCCTGTGTCCAAATTGTCCACATCTCCAACACGTAAACTGATCTCTGTTGTTCCTTTGTCGTTGTTGTCTTGTGTTGTACTGATTCCTGTTCTGTCATTGTCCATAGTTCTTTCCTCTACCTCTCTGTTGTTGTGGTTGACCATTCCATGGTTGTTGTTGTTGCCAAGGTGGTATATGTTGTTGCCATTGTTGTTGCTGATGTTCTTGTTGTTGTTGCCATGGAGGTGTCTGTTATTTTGTTTGCCTCATAAGTGTCCATCCTGTTAACCAGTTGATGTATCATTCCTTTGAGTTCTTCAAATTCTGATGGTGTTTCCTTAACTTCAGTTGCTGCCTTGCTGGTGTGTGGCTTAGATGAAGTTGATGACTCCCTCAGTAAATGATCACCCTCTATCTGGCGTATGGCTACTCTAAGTGTATCAAAGGTCTTGATGGTATCATACTTGTGGCCGGATATGTCTTTTAAAGATGTCCTAAGTCCAGTCCAAAGCATAGATCGTAGCATCTCATCAATGTCCTTTGGTTGTACTAATCCTCTTTCTTTGGCTTTCCCAAGTATGCTCTCTAGTCTACAACTCCAGGTAGTAACGCTCTCATCTGTTCCTTGACGTGCGCTGTAAAATTCTGCCAATAATTCCTCCTTCTTCTCCACACTACCATAAACACTGTCTAGCTTCTGTAGTATCTCTTGAACTGAAGCATCTAAATCCAATCTCATGGCAACCATTCCAGCTTCTCCACGTAAAGATCTTCTTACGGTGTTGAGTATGGCATCTTTGTCATAGTTCTGCTTCATAAGGACTCTCACCTCATGCCTCCATACCTCAAATGTAACATCTCCAGCTTTGATTTCAGTTCCTATAAAAAACCATGCTATCTTCGGTGGATGGTTAATAACTGTCTTGGTAACTTTTTCTTCTGGTTTTGATGGTAAAGGTGGTGGTTGTAAATCAATTTTGGCCTCTGGTTCCTCCTTTATCTTTCCTTTCATCTTCAAAAATCCCATCATCCAATCAGTAAGTTCCTCTGGTGTATCTGCCTTGGGTTTGACTCCCATCTTTGCAAATGCATCCATCATCTTCTTAATGTCAGGATCTATCTCCAATGATGGACTCTTCAGTTGTTGAGTGATGACCTCATCTCCTCCTGTAGCCATGTTGTAAGTATGTGTGTATCCGACTTACCTGATTACAGTAATAAGTGTAAGTACTAATAAATGTAAAATCAAAATATGCAGTACCCAAAAAAATAAACAAAGTACAAAATCAAATGCAAAGTATGCAATACAATGTATACTCACCAAATATCAATGTAAATACTCAGCAATGTATACTTCCTGTAAAAGGGTTGGCCAGAAATGTGAAACTTTTATGCTCACACCTCTAAATCAAGGACACAATAATATCTCAACTCAGTGTCAAAGCTAAATAATCTGTAAAGTCACTAAGTCAATGTCTACTAGTGTCAACTCAAGTACCAAACTACCAAACTATGAAAGAACTAACTCAAAGTACAGCTACACTGAAAGATCAAAGTAAGTATATCACAGGAGGTAGGTTTACATGCAATAAGGAAAGGATGTAATGTGTGTATTAGCAGGTAATAGTTATATATAGGATTTCATGCACATGCACCTTACATACGGTATAACACTACTATTATTCTGTAAATGTTTAC